CGGAATAAAAATATAATAACGTCATGATCTGAAGTTCCCTAAATAAATCCCTACATGAATTTTTTACTAGTAGCATGAAGCTATGAAGACCCGGTGTGCACCAGTGTCTAGACCCCAATAGATTATGCCGTAACTTATCACTGCTTGGAACAGCCCATAGTACACCAGCTTTAAATATTCAATGGATACCGTATCTCTAATATTTTGGATTAAGTATGGGCAGGAGCTTCATTTGGGCAATATGTCGTCGATGTGATGATTCCATGTAAGTTTGTTGTCAATATGCAGACAGAGAAACTTAGTAGCCTCCACGTTTTCTATAGAACGTCCCTCTAATTGGAGAAGAATACTGGAATCAACGCGATTATTTTTTATGACTATATTTCCATAGCCATTGACACAGATTTATTTAATTGTAGTCCGTTATCGCGTGATCCTTGGTTCTGCTGCCCCTTTTATATTAGCTCTGCTTTTATCTGTAACTAAAATGCTTGTGTCATCTGCATACAGTGCAAATAATGCATCTGTATTATCCTGAGTAAGATCGTTAATAAAACAGTTAAAGAGGAGCGGTGATAGGCAGGAGCCTTGAGTGGTACCGCAGCCTACATATTGAGAGCTCGATTTTGAACCGTCGATCACAACCTGTTGTACTCTCTCGGAGAGGTAAGATTTAACCCATGAATTTGCTGGACCTCTAACGCCCATATTTTCGGTAGATATGCCCCAGAGCGTAGTCCAAAGCTGTGCTTGTGGAGCGGTTGGTGAATCCGCTCTGAGCATTAGAAATCAAAGAATATTTTTCTGCAGTCTGCTATTATAACAGGACTCAAAGATTTTTGCCACTTGACATTGACATTGTTGGTTTCATTGCCTTTATTTTTAAAAATATGTACGATTTTTGAGTTTTTTATGGGCTGCGGACACGTCCCGAAGGAATCTTAAATTAACTAAATATGATAGAATAGGAGCTATAATATCTTTAATAGAAATCAACAAAGTGCCCGGTATTTCATCGATTCCAGATGATTTCTTACGGCATACTTTTCCAATTACTTGTTTTATCTCTACTGTTGTAGTAGGGTAGAGAAACACAGAGCTTGAGTGTATTTGGATATCTGGTGTTAGATTTTGAGGCTGCCTTCTATTGTTAGTAAAATCAGCAAAATATTTATTAAAAGTTTTGTATCCCTCTTGAAGTGTTTCACCACCAACGGTTATGTTAGTTATAGAAGAGGATTTACTTTTATTGGTTGCTATTTTCCCTGAGTATTTCCCAACTTTCCCTACTTATGATACAAGATTTCATTAACCGTAAATTGTGGTGAGTTTTCTTTGCGTGTTTAAATTTTTTGTTTTAATAGGATTAGGGTTATAAGTATTTTTTATCATATAGATTTTTTATCATATAGACATAGATATTTTATTCTTTTATTCATTTGATGCATCTCGTGTACCGCACGACTCAGCTCTCTTAATTCTCTATTAAACCAATTGGTTTTTTTCCTGTACGAGGCTTTTCCTTTTTTTTTACAAATGGAAAACTTGACATAAATATTTGTTTTAGTTTTTCGTAAAAAGTATTAAATTTTTTATCTAAGTCGTCGGATTGAATATCGTAGAGCAAATTATTCCAATCTGTGTTGGATACTAAATCTATAAAAGAATTTACATTATTTTCTCAAACTTCTCAAAAGTGAAGAGCTGAAACGTGTGGTCAGAAAAACATGTGCCTACAACCAAACTTTTTAGTCCGGTAAAGTAGACGAAAATATTGTCGATGCATGTTTTAGAATAATAAGTTATTCTAGTGTGCTCTACTATAGAAGCAATTAAATTACACTCAAGAAGTATATTTTTTAGTATTTTAGTTTGTGTGTTGTTTTCAAGCAAGTTGACGTCGCCGCAAAAAATGTGCTTATTTTTTGTTTGTATGCAGCCTCTAACATTATTGAGAGTTTCTCTACAAATGCTTCGAAGTCTCCCTTTGGAGATCGGTCTACAGAGAAAATTGTGATACATTCCTTGTTAAGCTCTAATTTTATTGAACACATTTCCAAAGTTTTAAATGGAATTTTTGAAAAATTTATACTTTCTCGACCCAAGATCAGACTCCCTCTCCCCTGCAAGTATAATCTGAAAGTTTAAGAAAATTATTGTCTGAGGATTAATGATGCTCTGAGATACACAGCACATTGACGTCGTGGTTACTTAATATTGATTCGAGGGCTTCTTTTTTGTTTGTGAGACCCCCTTGAATATTAACGTTCATAACTACGAATGCGTTAGGTGTCTCACCGTCTGGTTTAAAAAATCCTCATTTTCTGAGTCGTATTCACTGGCGCTGTTTCTTACATTTTTCTCAGGAAAGTAATATCTGCCCACTCTTGCACCAATAGGTTTCCGTTTAAAATTGCATCTTCGTGCGTAAAGGAGGCGCATATTTTAAAGGAACTCCACTGTTCGTTGTGGTTAAAGTGAAGTTTTTCACAATTTACTCTGCAGATGTCCCGCAATAACAAAGGTGTCCAAAAATTGAATCGAATCTAATAGACACTGTAGCTGGATATAACTTGATTAATTAATGGAAAGCAACGTTTTTTAACTTGCGACGGAATGTATAATGTAATTTTTCAGATTAGTTTTTGGGTCATAATTATATTGGAAATGGAAAACTTACCTTGCATTATTTCAATTTCAAATGGGTTTGAAATATTTCAAGTCTGGAAATTTATCTTCGAATTTGAATTTAGAGGTTTTAGGAATCAGAAAAAACTTAAGAGTTGGAAAGTCTGTAACTTAGGGTTACGCAAGATTTCCTTTTAGTTACAAATACGTTCAAGGTTATATCATTTCCGGAAGTAGCCATTAACATCTTTATTTTTCATGAAACACTCTGTTCATTATTTAAAGCCGTATCATAAGTTTCATTAAGTTTCCCACTTATTTGTTTGACTGTTTCTCAGACATCCTGATTTTTCAGATAACTCTTATAGATTTTCTCTATTTTTCAGGTTGTAACGTTTTTAGTAAAGTAGAGTAATATTTTTGAAATCTGTATTGACAATTGATTTATCACCCCAAAATTTGATTAACGGTTATATTATTTTCAAAGCTCAAAAAATATTTTTTCAAATTTTTTCAATCTTATATTTGTCATACTCATTTCTTTCAAATAGGAGTTGTCAAAGAAAATTTTTTTTCGAGCAACCGAGGCGGACTTGGGTATTCAATCCACAAACAAGCGTTTTATTGTTGAACAAGTGGATTTTTGCATTTTTATTTTAATATTAAGAAATCACAAATTGCACCTTTTTGCGAGTTTATATGAGTAAAAATCACGCAAGATTTTTTTATAATATTTCGAAACAATCATTATTGGACAAGCGAAAACCCATATGCACTGCATTCTTTCACCACTCTTATTTAATACTTATAGCCGATACGTCATAAATGAGTGGCCACACGGAATATCTGTTGTCGGAAAGGGGATTAACAACTTGCGCTATGGGGATGATACACTGATCTTAACGTCAACCATACAAGCAATAGCAGAAATTATGAGACTGTCTTTTAGTAGCAATAATGATTATTGACAGACAAGACAACAATTTAATTATCAACACTGGGAAGTGTAAAACCGAAATACGCCGTCATCTGATCATGGCAAGATCAGCCACTACTAAGCTAAACAAAATATGAAAAGACAAATCTATCACTAAGACTAGTTGATGTTCAAATCTTCCCCATTGCACAACGTACGAAAAGGAAACATAGGCTTAAAAAAATACATAAAAATTGAATAGAGGCTTTTGAAATGTGGTTTTATAGACATTTACGAGTATATGGGCTGAGCATCGAACCAACGTATCCTCCGTATTATAAGACATTGGTACACGTACTAGGCTCCTAACCAGAATAAATCGCATCTATCTGCAGTACCTGGGGCATATACCTAGAAGATCAGGAACAATGTAACTAAACATTGAAAGGATAGTTGAAAACAAAAGCCCAAGAGGTAGATCTCCACCTAGATGGGTAGACCGAACAAAAGCCTTAATAAACATAAGACTGCTGGATCGCACAAGATAGGTAGGCATGTCATAAATGGTGTCACTACATCCTTTGGAAACGATAATGGAAAGAGTATGCCATATAAATTTATATGTGGACAAATACCTGCAAATATTTAGAGAATTTGTAATTTCACAGAACCGAGCAAACACACACTACACATTTTACTAATACCGTGCCCCAGCAGTTGACATAAGATTGATGGATTGGTCCACAAGGTCCCTGGCACTGGCCTCCACGGTCATCCGATTTGACCCCTTTTGATTTTTACTGTTGGCGGCTCATACGAGGACGAGTTATTATATCGTGTTAACCATGCATCTACTAATCTATGCTAAAACGAATTTCGGGGGTCTTGATGTTCTTTAATTTTTGATTATTTTTAATTACATTTAATTTCGTTGCTGTATCATAGCTATTTTACTTTTGAAAACACCAATAAGCAAAAAACCGTTAAAATGGGTATGGTGAAAATAATAGCAAAACGATGCAGAAAAAAATTACTTATTTAAATTGAAAATAACGTAATCGGTAATTAAATTTTCAATGATGCTTAGGTTATTGGAGAAGCGTTTACCACCCATCAAGAATAGACAATAAGATCACTGAAAAAATAGATATCTGGATATCTGGGAAACAGTTGAAAATAGGAAGGAAACCTAATGAGATTAATTCATCACCAATCCAAAAATAAAATATGGTGTTACACTTAAAATAAAGATGCTAACGGCGACTTCCGGTGTAACGATTGTTGCAAACCCCGTTATTCTTTAGATGTAATTCTTAAAGGTATTTTATGACAGTATAGTAACTTATCACCAAACAGATGGTCAAATAGGTGATGATTTTAGAGTAAGGAGTACAAATAAAAACAATCTCATTTTGGATTCGCTTTAAAATGATTGAAATCTCCTCCGTTTTTCCAGCGCAGTGAAATAAACGGTCTCGTGCAGCCCGAGGTGGACGTTGTCCGCCATGACGGTAGTCAACGAGTGGATTTCGGGCACAAGTTTCGGTTCCTGGGTGCAGCGCTGCCGGGAATCTCGCCGTCTCGTTCTTGTCATCGTGGCCATCGCCCTGCTCTTGGACAACATGTTGCTCACCATCGTGGGTAAGTGAAAACCATGCTTTATCGCTCAAATTGATAACTAAATACCTGTTTTACTTCGAACATCTTTAATGTTGCAAAAGCCATCATTAGTAGAAGGCACCACTAGTGAAATTCATGTTGCCTATATCTAGTCATCAGTGATGATTTGTACGGTTTATACTAGATATAAGGGAATTTACAGAACAAAATAAGAAGGATTATGACAGCCTATTAACACATCCGCTACCGCCAAAAATTTTTTGAGATAAAAGATTCAGAAAGACTCTTTAAAAACATTTCTTTATATTAGTATTAGACGCCGAGAGGAATATCACATAAACTAGTAGAGACTAAATGGTTGAACATGGAGAGCAGAAGAAAACTACATAAAGCTTGTTTTCATACTACTAAAGTCCTCAATATCTGTACAGAAGGATTGTATTCAGATCTTATGTTCATAATTTAAATATTAGATTTAGAGGTGCCATAACTCCTCCTCTACATAAAACAATACTATTTGAGCGTGGTTTTTCCTTTAATATAACTAAATTGTATAATAGTCTTCAAAGCCCTGACTCCAAGTAGATTTAAATTTTATGTTTTCAGATATTTTTTCGAAAAGTAAAGTTTAAAAAAAAACACAGTCTATCTTTAACAAACGTGAGCAAAATAGGATACATTAATAAGTGTGAGAAGAAGTAATTTTTTTTCTGTTGTTGTGCTCTCGCTGTCGCCATAAAAGAAATAGTTATTGTTTCTCAATCCGTTGGGTTAAATAGATTAGGGTGGCTAACATACTGATGTTATCCATATATATACATTCATTTTGTAAAAAAAACGGTTACTTTTAGAAAGTATGGATATACAGAAATAAAGACATATTATTATTATTATTAATATATTTTCAGATGTCAGCTTGACAGATCTCAATGACATTTTAACATGACACAAGAGTTGCGTCATCGGCCTGGCGCAAAAGTTTTGCCCTTGACAATGCATGGGTCACTGCCAATCACACAGAAACTATTTTTTTCTAAACTTCTCTGATAGCTTTTTATTTTTTATTTTTAAACAGAGACACATATAAATAGATGGATAGATAGATCATTTACAATGGATGTTTCGTCACAAAAAATAACATTGCTTTTTACAAAAATTCTGGATTCCTCCTGCATCGGTTTTTGCTTAGTCGAAATTGCTGACGTTTCGACAATCATCCTGTTGGCTTCTTCAGAGCTGGACTGAAACTGGCTCGAATTTGACTCTGTACCTGCTTATATATTGCTTGAGAGGGGCTAATGAGCTGTGTAAACATCGTCTCGGATGACTGATTCCCAGATTGGGGACAGGTAGAGACCTGGGTCGCGATTAAGATTGTTAGGTTGTTTATAGATTTCTATAGACTCTCGGATTTTTCGTTGGTAGAAGAACTGATTACATGCAAGAATTTTAGTTTTATCAAATAAAATTTTATGCCCGGTTTCATGAGTGTGTTCGGCAACAGCTGATGAGTTTATTTGTCTTAGTTGTAAGGCTCTTTCGTGTTCTTTGAGCCTAATTGATATTTTTCGTCCGGTCTCTCCAATGTATTCTTTGCCTCATATGCATGGAGTGCTGTAAACTCCTGGCGTCTCAAATGGAATTTTGTCTTTGACGGACCGCAGATGTTGAGAGATTTTTGGACAAGTGGTAAATCTGGTTTTGACGTTATACTTCTTTAGAACTTTTGATATTTGGTCAGTGATGTTTTGAATGTAAGGAAGGACCACAGTGGCAAGTGTAGGATTGCTTTCGGCCTCATTGCTATTGAAAGGTTGTGATGAAGTGTATTTTTTGATGGAACGTTTAATATCTTTAATGTGGAAATGATTAGAGAGAAGAGCAGAGGTAAGGTGTTTTAATTCTGTTTTCAGTGGCTCGGGCTGAGATAGTTTCTCATATAGATATAGTATCTCAACCCGAGTCACTGAAAACTGAATTAAAACATCTTACCTACAGCATTCCATGCATATGCGGCAAATAATACATTGGAGAGACCGGACGAAAAATATCAACTAGGCTCAAAGAACACGAAAGAGCCTTACGACTAAGACAAATAAACTCATTAGCTGTTGCCGAACACACTCATGAAACAGGACAAAATTTTATTTGATAACACTAAAATTCTTGCATGTAATCGTTCTTCTACCAACGAAAAACCTAACAATCTTAATCGCGACTCAGGTGTCTACCTGTCCCCAATCTGGGAATCAGTCATCCGAGACGGTGTTTACACAGCTCATTAGACCCCCTCAAGCAAGATATAAGCAGGTACAGAGTCAAATTTGAGCCAGTTTCAGTCCAGCTCTGAAGAAGCCAACAGGATGATTGCCGAAACGTCAACAATTTCGACTAAGCAAAAACCGACGCAGGAATCCAGAAGTTTTGTTTAAAGCAATGTTATTTTTTGTGACGAAACATCCATTGTAATGGGTTTCGTTAATAAATGATCTATCTATCTATTTATATGTATCTCTCTGATTAAAAATAAAAAATAAAAAGCTATCACAGAAGTTTAGAAAAAAATAGTTTCTGTGTGATTGGCAGTGACGCATGCATTGCCAAGGGCAAAACTTTTGCGCCAGGCCGATGACGCAACTCTTGTGTCATGTTAAAATGTCATTGAAATCTGTCAAGCTGACATCTGAAAATATATTAATAATAATAATAATAATATGTCTTTATTTCTGTATACTTTCTACAAATAACCGTAGCAGTATTTTGTGTTGCTGAAATATTTCTTTGCAAGACTGTCTCGGAGAAAGTTTAAAAATTAGCTTAAGCATTCTTTTCTGCTGTACAAACACCCTTTCAGTATCACTAGCTTGCCCTAGTTCATAATGTTGTAAGGAATTGCGGAGTATGCCGAAGCATAATAGAAGACTAATAGTGATCTCTCAAGAAATGAGTCTCTAATTGTTAATATGGCAAAGAATGTTTTATTTAGCATACTACAAATATTGTTTATGTCTTGATCCCACCTCAATCATGCATCAATGTAGGAGCCAAGAAATTTTGTGCTTTGACTTTTTCTTAAAGATGTTCCAGAGAAACTACAGCATAAGTCACGTAAAGGTCTAATGTACTGCCCAGTGAATCCAAACACAACTGTTTTCTCTAAATTTATGATTAGATGATTTTGCTTGCAAAATTTATTAAACTGTTCAACAGCAACTGCGACATTATTTATCATATTATTTATTATGTTTCGTTTACCTTTACACTTATTTTTCTTTGATTCATATACGACATGATCCAGTTATTAATAGACCCTCTTACGTCTAAAGATTCCAGCTTTTCCGACATTATATCCAAATTTAATGAGTCGAAAGCGCGCGATATATCGAAAAACACTCCGACCACTGTCTTTCCGACATCGAGTTTATCATAAATATGTTGGACAAGCTCGATTGTGTCCGTTTCCATATAGTACCCTTCCCGGAAACCATCTTGCACGTTTGAAATTATTTTTTCTTGATTCAAGAAATGGTGAATTCGGTTGTACATTGCCTTCTCTAATATTTTAGATAAGCAACTTGCTATATACATGCTAATATAATCTAAAAGGTAAAAAGTAGTAGAATTAAAAAAAAACTGGCTTAAAACCTAATACAAAAGAATGTCAAAATATTAAAAGTTTCCTAAGATTATTTGCGTGAGTGAATTTTTTTGAAGCTACTCTCCTAGGCAAAGCCCGCTTTTTCTTATTTGGTTTCCTTTATCATCTTTATCGAACTTCAAGGAAAGATGTTATGGTGTTTATATTTGATGTAGCTGGGCTGGGCTTTTTCCGGGATAATAAATTTCATCCATTTTACTATTTATGTAATCTGAATCTTATTTTATGCAATCGATCCCTGAACCCAGGTTCTCCTCTCTTTTTGTTTTCTGAAACATGCAAGCAACGCATTATGAGTAGAAATCGGTTTCTACTCGTATGTTGCGAAAACAAGCCTAAGTTGTAAAGTTCGCCTGTCTTCCAATGATCCTCTTTATTTGAATGTGACCCATATGAAGCGATAGAGCCAAAAACACTTTGATTTCGGAAAGTATAGGTGGTTTCCAAGTCGTAATTTGAAATTGCTTAATGGTTTTCTCCCTAAGAAAAACTTCTGCATATCGATTCGTCTCTTCAGCAATATGTATTAAAAACTCATCTGTTATTAATAATTTAAAAAATCCATAGGGTGAGTGGTGTGATACATCTAATCGTAATCCAGGGTTACCTGAGAATGGAATTTGTTTCAAGTTTATCCCGTCAGCCCATCCAATATTCCACAAGTTATTACTATTTGGCAATAGATCAGGAGCGTTAGCGAATGTCAGCAGTTCATCATTCGTTAAAGGTCTCTTTCTATCCCACTCAATACGTCTTTTTTTTGCGCCCGAAGGGCCTGCGATCTCACTATCCATGACACTACTTCTTTGAAGAAATTACCAAAACCGACAATTCAAAAACACGTGCTCAAAAGCGCCAAAACTGCAAAAAAATAGCTACAGCCCCTCTCAAAAGCCTGACTACCTAACATTTTAAGTGCACTCGACGCAACTGTTGCGTCATCGACTTGTGGTGGTGGAAGGCCAACAGGCCAAAGCCAAAGCGAAAGTTTTAAAGAAGTATAGAAAACAGAACTGACAGATAACAAAAACACATGTGCCTGGTCCATAGGAAATGAAATGAACGGGAAACATGGTAATGAAGAGTTAGAAATTGAAGGTAATACCGAGATCAAATCGCAATTGATTTTTAACTGGTCGATGAAAATGAAATTTGAAATATAGTTAAAAAAATTAAAGAATAATTTCAGTTGTTGGATATTTACAATAGTCTCGTTAACTTTTGTGTTGCCCCGTGATTCTTAAACCATTACTATTTGTGATACACAACTCGAGTTTTGGAATATTTATAGATCAACTAAAGTATACCCTGGTAGTCCCAATCTTTAAAAATGGACTCTATGGTCGAAAACAACCTGCTAAAT